TGTACTGGCTGAAGAAGTTTTCATTTTTCCATCAGCAACGTAATTATGATGGTAGTTAATGCAATGAGGACAACGATGATGACCAACCCAAGACCACCACAACCAGCTTCACCAACACCACTGCGGGCGTGCAATTAATGTGCTGTGCTAAAAACTCCCCATAACCCCGGTGTCACATTGTTTGCCGAAATCACCATAATCATCGTCTTCGTCAGCGTCAGCGTCAGCGTCGTCGGCAACGAAAAATCAATAAAAACTCCATTAGTTTACTTCAGAATGTTTTGTCGTTATTTTCTTTTACTAGATGTTTCTAATTTTTTACTTTTCCACTGCTTTCCATGCTCTTGGCCAGGTTATTATTTGGTCGAGTGCTATCATAGAATGACGGTTTCACTGTCAGTTAAAAGTGAAAAATATATATGTATGTAAACTGGTAAATTTGTTGTATGCCAATGAAATAATACAAGATGCGTCCCATAGCAAACGAGAAGAAATCTACCATTGAGTTATCAAGATTTCTCTCTGAAGTATTATATGACGGACCAAGCATCGATGAAACCACAGAAACTTGTAGAAAATGTTTAGCTGAATGACCAGAAAAATTGATTTAACCTTGTCCCCCCTCTCTACCGGCTTAGTACACAATATTTATATAAATGGCAATTTTTAGCTGCTGAAGCGATTTCCGGCCGAGCTACTCCTCTTTTTTGAGATATGAGTCTTAATGTTTTTTGAGCAGGCTTCGAAAGGTTGATGGATTTTTATGACCAACGTGGCAACGATTCGAACCCATGACATTCCGCCCGTCAGTATGCACCAGTCGATATCTTAATGAAGTTTGACATACACATTTATTGGGCCCGAATGCTGATGCGCCATGGGACTATACTGAGCCAAGGAGAACTAAACTCCATTTCAACACTCCACTTAAAAACATTATGCGAGTTAAGTACAGGGGTTATCTTCTCATTTTTAATCCCTTTGATTTTCAATTTTCAGTTTGAAATATCTTTCGCTTTATTTATTAACAATTCTCAAGGCCAAAACTTGGGTTAATTGGGTTCGCCTTATTTATGCTTGGAACACTTCTCTCGCATGTTGAATGGCAAAGAAAATTAAACACCAGGAGATGGCGAACTCGCTTCTCTAGTCGATTACTATGTAACAGATATTCCACTAAGAAGAAGTTCGAAAAGCAATTACCCAACTGATTAATAACAAAGCAACAGGGTCAGATGGCTTGCCAATTTCTTCTCGAAATATGACCGAAAGAAAGCATGTTCTGTGGTTCAAACTTTAGAGTCTTCCAAACCAATCCACATAAAGAGGTACCCCGCAGTCTGCATTAATCACCTTGTGAGAAGTCTTTTCAGTATTACATATAAAGCCTTATCAACCGTACTGCTTGACAGGCTAAACTCTTCAAAAAGACATATGAAAAGACGATCGACACAGACCATCTCTTCATCGACTTCAAAGTTGCCAGCATGAAAACGAGCTCTCTCAAAGGTATAAGGCATTTGGGACGCTGAGCAATAGCAAGAGCTCAGTCAGATCAGTCTGATGATATTGATAATATTGGTCTTAATAACTAAGCCGTAATTTCTGGTGGATAAGGAAACGAGGCAAATGGGTGTGGTAGTGAGCTAAGACATCATCATACAAAGTGTTAGCCCAAGTGCGACTCGATGAATACGTCACTGTTGACATCACAACTGTAAAATAGTTGATCATAAATTCCAACAGCAATGTTAGCCTCGAATTCCAATGCATAGGACTGTTGCCTTCCTCGACAAATAAGCTCCAAAAACTCCAAAAGTCCCTCAACAGTAGCGAGGCTTGAAAGATGGCAGCATCTGATGAGTAGTTATCGATAGAACAATTTTGTCAACAGCGAATACCACAAATGGTGAAATCATGAGCTGTACGAAATTTATGACGACATTGACAGTAGTTACGAGGACTAGATCATGTGGTCCGAATGGATGAGAGTATTCCAGCCTTGAGCCCTTTAGAAGCAAAAAAAAAGATCCTCACTCTGATGGAAATGCCAGGTGGATAAGGACGTAGTACCACTAAAGCCGCCAACTGACGAAAAGAAGAAAAGACTGGCCTGCTTTTGTTCACTCGGCTCCAATCGCGTAATATAAAATAAGCTGAGTTCTTTAACCTTTTGATTTATACATACATCTTTATGTATGAAAGACTATCTTCTTCTTCATACTCCCCATCCACGTAGAAGTGTGTTGCAATTTGTTGCATAAGAAATAATTTGACTCAAAAATAAATAAAATATAATGTAATCGCGTTGGACTCGGAAACGAGAGCAAAAGAGAATGTCAATCACACATATGCACACATACACTAATGTGTACAGATACAATACAATACATGCATATGTCCATATGTATTGTGCAATATCTGCAATTAATGTTATGACAACATGCCACACATGCAACGCGAGATCAATGAACTCTGAGCCAAGTTAAGAAAGAGAAATTGCACTGAGCCAATCGACAAATCGTAAGATGGAAGGATGAACCCAAGAAAAAACAATGCACACACACAATGTGTATGTATGTATGTACCATATGGGGTTGTATAAACGCGTGCTTGTATGTAAATTTTGTGTTTGTGTGTACGCGTGCCATGCTGCTATGACAATGAATTAAATTATGATGAAATATCAGCATCCTTAAGCAAGCCACTCTCGCCCCAACACATGGAGAAAGGGTTGAAAGTGAATAAAAATTATTTGTGATTGAAAACGTAAAAAGAGCTTGAGCAAAGCTGATCAGTTAAATAGGCAATGCGAGTGGCAGGGTAGACTGTAGAGTGGTTAAAGGTGATTGACTGCTTAGCGTTGGTTGGTTTTATGGTTGGTTGACAGTTTGTTTTATATGGAAATATTTCAGATTCAGATTTATATTGCCACACTGATGCTTTGTGAAACAACCAGAATTATAGAAAATTAATTTGTCAAACTGCTGTCGCACCTCGGCAGAGAATGTCAAGAACTCCAAATCTATTTTGTGATATAAATCAAAAATCATGAAAATCCATAAGCGCTTCGGAGGCCGCTTAGTATAAACTGTAGATTCCTCCATTTGTTTGACAAACATCAACATGCACATGAGAGGGAGGAGCTCGGCCGAAAATCGCTTCAGCAGCTACAAAGCGCCTATTATATGTACATATATACTTTTGATTTGCAACCTAAACATTTGATTTTTTTGTGGCACAATTACAACTTTGGCGGTTGAGAGAGCTCCTTGACTGTGAATAAAGTGAATTTTAGAACAAAAACTTTTGCAGGCGAGCTTTTGGAGGAGACGCTTGACGTATTCATGGTTAATTTTGTGGAACCAGTGATTGTATTGCGAAAAAGCCAACTTGCTTTGAGTGAAAGTCGAAGTGCAAGTGCTTATACACGCACACACAAATTAATAAAAAATATTCATAGAAATAAAAATTAAACAAAAGGCATTGCAATATCTGTGAATATTGTAATTTGCGTTGCTAAAAAGTGCTCGCTTAGTTGCTTCACATACACACATGCATATGTATGTATACATATGTAAGTGCATACATAAAAACAGAATGGAAAATCAATGCCGTTGAATGGACAAACTGATAGCAGGAAGCTACATACATACATACATATGGGTGTATGGTCGTGGGTTGCAGCAGCTGATGCAGATAGCAGGAAGCTACATACATACATACATACATACATATATACACGTACATACATAAGTACTTTGGAGGGTTGGGAAAATGAAGTTAAGCAAAAGCAAAGTTTAAGCGCTTTTAAACAAGTGACGCTAGTACTAACATAAATAATGTTCAGCGCTTACTCACTTCCATATGAGAAGTGTGCTGGGGGAGCGAGGCAACTGAGTTGCTCAGCTCAAATAGGTGAGTATTGTAGAATCGCGCAAAGCTGAGTGCAATGTAATTTTAAAAACATCACCGCCAAAGCACAATACCAACCCTCTTTACTCAAGCAATGCGATGCGCCACAAAGCGGGGTTGCCGATGGTGATGTTGGCAGTGCAATGGCCGTGCAGTAAACACATATATGTACATACCTACATACATATATATATATATATATATGTGTGTAATATTACGGCTGTAACTTTAAAACTGCCGCCAATATTCCAAGCTATGAGGTAGAAGTTTTTTGGGAGTGCTGAAGTTGCTGTAGGGAGTTGCACCTCTTTGTTTGACTACTTTGCTGCATTTAAATTTCTATATGTTGGAGTATAGGTTAGGGTCGCTTACCTCAGTAGCGGTTTTTTTTTATTTATTTTACTGTTACTACAAGCGTTTTAACATATATACAAACAAAGTATACAAATTTGTGCTCGTCGTGTTTGTGCTTTGTAAGTATTTTAATGCTCTTGCTACCGCTACACCCCACCACCGCTCCTCCCCACTCCTCTATGCAAGCACAGCACACTGGGGGTGGCTGGGTAATGAGTCAAAAACACGAAAACCATGCACGCTCGTCCAACAAAAAGCATAATTTATAAACTCGCGACCAAGTGCGACAATTTGTATGGGGGTGGGTGGTGTTTTTCGTGGTGGTGGTGGTGTTAGTGAAAATAAAAAGAAAATAATCGATAATAAAATAGCCAGTAAATTTGTATTTTATTTTTTGTAATTGTGTGAAAATGTTTTAAGTATTTCAATATATAATTTTATTTCTTTTTCTTATTTTTTTTTGTTTGAAAATTATATTAATTATTAAGAGCATATTTGGAATATTTTTATATGTATTTTTTTTATAAATTTTATTAATTATTAAGAGCATATTTGGAATACTTTTATATGTTTTTTTTGTTGTCTGAAAATTATATTAATTATCAAGACAATATTTTGAATATTTCTATATGTTTTTTTTTTTAATTATATTAATTATTAAGAGAATATTTTGAATATTTTTATATGTACACGTATCTCGCTTTCTTTTTAAATCTTATTTGCGTACTTACCATTTGGTATATTTTGATTGAAATGATTGCCATTCGTCTGATAGCGTTGCACATGATTATCGGTGATGCCGGTCGTTGTGTTGCCATTGATGCCGGTGGGTGTGGCAAAGGCGCCGGGTGGACCTTGTGTGTCGTGGCCAAATTTGGCCGCGAACTGATGTATGCCGGAGAAGGGACCACCAAACGCAGAGAAATTCATCATGCCACTTCTATGGAGACGCTGTGTATAAGTTGCAAAAATATGTTAAAAGTGCTGCTACTTTATTTAGCACCGAACTGTTTTTCAACGAAGTGTTTAAAGGGAGAAAACTTGCTCGTTTGGGTGGGAGAAGCGCTTCTTATTGCTTATACGTTGTGACTGCTTTCACTTTTTTATTTTTTGATAAATAATTTTTCACGTTTTTACTTAATTTTTCTTTTGCATAAATTTGCCTTCATTTGGATTCTTTTTTTTTAAATATATATTGCATATTTCCTCAAGTGCTTGAAAAAAAAGTTGTGTCTCCGCAACATTCACTGCTTTAAAACGAGATATAACATACATATGTACATATATTATAATAAATTTCACACTAACATACTGTTATAAATTCACACACTAGTCCAATAATGCCCACTCGGCAGTGCTTGCCAACGAGGTGAGTGACAAGTTGGTTTTAATTCGTTACCACCAACGCCAGTACTAAGCCATCCGCTGCTTTACTATGCTTTACACTACATAGTCCACTGTGGCAGGCTATTGGTATTAAAGTACCTTCCAACTTTCGTTTTTCGCGAGCGCACAATTTGGTGGCGATGATTTAATCACGGCAACACTAACACTACTGCCTACAATCATGGGCCGCGACTACAGACACCGTGTATTGTACTGCTATGCATGTATGTATGTATGTATGTATGTACATATATTATAGATAGAAAAATATATCTCTCTTGCATATAACTGTAAATATATGTAAATATATTTGTATATATGTATATATATAAATATAAATTAAAAAAAAACGTTTGCGCGTTTATGTTTGCCCTCTCACTGTCACTACATAATAGTTAATGCGTCCACCGACTGTCCGTCCGTTTATATCTGTAGTTGCAGCGTCTATCTACACACTCCCGTAAAGTACGAACCAGCCAAGACAGTCAGCTAACCTGCTAAGGTGTCTCTACCCCTTAAGGGTGAGTTGTTTGGTGTGCTAGTGCACCTTATTCTCTCACCACCATCGCCACCATCACCACCATCGCCACCATCACCACCACCCTCTATGCAATTGTGCAAGTATACTTGCCAATTCAAATTAATATGCGCCAGTGGGGTTGCTGTTGTCTTCTTGTTGTTGAGAAAGAAGCACAAGCCAAAAATACAAAAATACAAAAATCAAAAGAAAAAAAAAATAAGAAGAAGAAGAAGTAGAAAATATTGCTCTGCAGTTAACTTTGTGCGGAAAGAAAATGTATTTTTAACTTTCAATTTCTGTGAACGGCAAGCGGCAAGCGGTGCTGTTGTTAAATTGGCAACTGAGACGTTGACACTAAATTACCATTGCCATTGGGTTTTAGCTATGAGACTCGTTCTCTCCATTCGAATTGTGCACACATATATACATACATACATACACCCAAACGGGTACATGCATACATGTAGGTATATGTATTGGCTCCCCATTTTGCAATACATGTACATATATATTGAACATACATACATGTATATATAGCATACAAAAGAAGTTGGCTCCACAAATATAACGTAGTAAGGAAAGTTCAAATAAGTATTGGTATAAAAGCAGAACTAAACACACACATCTACATACAAATATACTAGTATTTATGTGCTCAGTACATGATATAAGCTTAGAAAACTAAGTATAAGCCAACAACGGACGGTAGCAAAGACCTAGCTGGCTGAACCCAACAAAAGCAACAGTAGAATCAGCAAAAACAATATGTGCAATAGCAATAAAGACTTGAAGGTTGAGTGAGTTGAGTTGCCACCTCGGGGGTGGGTATGCCGATAGCCCAGCACATTATGTGTGTGTGTAAATGTTTGTGTATATGTATACAAACGAAATTTTGTGAATATTTTGTGCCAGTAGGAAAACTGATTCGAGTTGGATTTCCTTTTTCAGAAAGGATAAAGTTTAAATACCTGAGAGAGTAATTCTTATTTCTCGAAATTCTTGAGGATGACTTATTTTGATATTTTAATAAAAGTACATATTTAAATAATTATTAGATTGATTCTTATGGCTTTTAATTTTGAATGGGTCCAAAAAAAGAAGAAGAAAAATTCTTAAAAGATTTCGGTATTTGGTTGGTTGGTTGTAAAGGGAGATTGAGCACCAGCCGCATTTAAGCAACTTGACTAGGCTTATTATGTTTCCCAGCTTGTTCCAATTATGCTTTCGTAAGCAGATGGCTCGATTTAATACTCGATGACTACGCAGCCAGCTGTATGAGATTTTACTTTTCAATCGGCTACTGTTCTACACTCTTCCAATTCTACCTTACTTGGTTTCTTGTATCTGATATCTTAGGGACACTTACAGAAATGCTAAGCTCCCTTTTTCTAAGTGCTTGGTGTTTGCTCTGTCTGCAATCGACGCTGTCCCACAGTAGTTTAGTGGTATGCCTATCGTTGGAATTGCTCCAGGACCTTTAGTGTTCTCCAAGGTTTCTCTGTTTTAAATAACATTTAAAGGCGCTGCCAGGCTTGTGCTAGTCGATGGTGTTAGCAATGCCAGCGGACCTGCGACTCAAGTGATACACCCGAGTGATACTGTGTTAGCTCGTGATAGATGAATGCAGTTGCTCACGTTCCGTCTTCTCGCGTCGCTTTACCATTGCAAGTCGCACCTCAGCTTGAGCACCTTCCCATAGGACGATTCGTCGTTTTTGCGATCTTTTCGCTGCGCCGGCGAAACGCTCACACTCTTAGACTTTGTGTTAACATATTAAATTTCCTCTGGGTTGTCTACAAGGAATCTGACAGATCTCCCGATTAAAGCGATTTCCCATTTGGCGCCGTCAATAACGTCCACATACGCTGCTTGAAAGACAAAATTGTAGTCATTTAGTTTGAAGCTCCCTTGAATATTGGTGTGGTCACCTGCTTGCATTTGGATTTAACAGTAAAATGAGGCTATCTACAGTATTACCGAGAAGTAGGTGGTTTGCAACTGGCAGAAGATTTCCTTTCTCAGCCACACTGTACGCTTACCCCGAGCTCTCTAATAAAATTTTTTATGGCAACATGTCAGTTGGAGGGCTGGACCCAGTTATTCAGCGTATTTAGGCGGCTAACTGTTAGTGATGCCTCAAAAGGTACGTGTATGTAAATAAGACTGATGACAAGCATGACTTCCAGGGTCTTAATTGAGGTAGTTCTCATAGCGTCTGCTATTCCTAGTATACAGGTACTCTGTTCCCATTCTGGAGGTCTATAGGTTTAATGCGGCACTTTTCTTTATTGCCGGCACCATACTAGCGATCCATACTTTGCAATTGGGTCGCAGACGCAAAAGCCCTGTTGTAGATATTCCAAATTTAGAGCGCCTGCTGTCAATATGTTTCCTCCAGTTAAGTTTTTTTTATCAGGAATAACTCCACGATACTTGGCCGAATTGGAGGGTACTACATATAATGTTGGTCTTAATAAAGAGGCAGACCTCTGACTTTTTCCAGGCTTACAGTGAATGCTTGTCTCTCAGCCCATCTAAATGTCAGGTCTTAATATGAATAATCCCTGTAGCTATTTTGGACTAAGGGAAGGACATTTTTTTCTAAGCCGCCTTCAAACGGCTTCAACTTCCTATCGATATTAACGGATTGCATTGTGAAGATGGACAAGTCGTGGTCATAACAATATACGAAGAAGGTTTCGTCTACCGGAAAGGATGGACTAATTCACTAACTTCACGGATGACTATAAAGCGTATATGCCGGACCCGATGCACTTCTACACGGATGAGGCAAAACAATGCAACATATTCGGTAGTGGAATCTACTCAAAGGTCTTTTCGGGTACCGGATCACTAAATTATTTTTAAGACTGAGCTCGTGGCCATATTATAGGCTGTCGATTGTCTAGACCTAATGATATTCTCAGTGAATTGTATTTATATTTGTTCGGAAAGCCTGGTAGCTCTGGAATCTACTACAATAAAACCAGAAGGAAAGGATCTGTGCATGTCGCTGGCCACTTGCAAGCCCACTATAAGAGAATTTCTCATCGCAGATGCTAACTTAGGATGTAAGAGTTTCAGTTTTTGTCTACTGGCAAGGGTAATGTGCGCGGCATGGAGTAAAGAAAGGTCGAGAGAGCTTATCTTACTATAAAGAAACGAAATATACACAATTATGGAGCTTCTTATGAAGCATCATCTATTAGGTAGGCACGCCGAAAGTCTGAGCGCACCATGAAGTGGATTTTAATGGAGTTTTATAGAGGAGGAAGGTCCGAGAACCTTAAGACACTTCCGTTGGGAATACAAATTGAAAATAAATTGAAGTCTCCAGATGTATTAACGTTTAGAGACTTTGGTTAAATAATGGGTGCACATTTATGTATACTGCTTTGTTTTGCCAACTCAACACGGCGGCTTGATTAGCGAGTCGGTGCTAATATGATCCTTGGTGATACCACAATGAGCCCCTTTTTGGTGGCCTATCTGAGCTGATGCCCAGCTGCTACTTCTACCTAACATAATCTAGAGCTCAATGCAGTGACATTTTGTCCTTAATTTGTACCGAAGAGTGGAATTAGAACCGATTTTTTTGTAAAAATGGGGCTCTTGGGTCTTTTTGCTTGAAATTTGAAACATAAGTAGAGAATCTTTGCCTTGATTAATATATATGAAGAGAACTTTTCGTTCCAGGAAGTGAATTTGTTACCAAACTATTCGAAAAATTCGTATATGGGACTCGTTTGCCATAATAAATCGAACATAGCGAACTCTTATATATATATTTTAGAATAAATTACAGTTTATTGCTCTATTTGCTTGAGATTTGAAAAATAAATAGCTCTTTGCCTCTCTTTTCCGAAAAATGTTGTATTGATTTGAGGTATTTATTACCTGGAGCATCTTAATATTAAATACATATACAAGAAAGTGGACCAGGGACTGATTCAATGGAAAAAAAATCCTAATAATATATTTTATAAATAGTCATACAACTTAAAATAATATTTTAAAAGATATAATAAGACGCTGTTATAAACTAGTTATTATTAAACAGGCAAATGAGAGATAATAATCGATTAGTAAATTGTTCGATTAATCGTGCCATTAACAACCCTCTTCCAGAAAGCCTTATGATAACCGCGGACGAATCATTTCGGGTACTAAATTCTCCCTGCAGTCAACTGCTAAACCAGCTGTCAAAGATCGCCTGCATTTGACCTTTTTTTTTAAGTAAAATTGAATTAGGTTAATTATTCCTGT